TTCACATGTTTCAGCGCCATGCTGATTTTTGGTCATGAGAGCAAGGGAACCTGTGAGTGGTGCGCCTTTTCTTCAAAGGTTTTAGAAGTAGTATAACAAGACATATTGTGTTATTGGTCATGCGGCCAACGAAGCCTGTGAAGGACGCATTCTTTGTCTCCTTATGGAACAACAATCTACCATTTTTTGTCATGTGACCAGTGAAACCTACAAGGGCCGCGCTCTGGGTTCTTGAATGGTAAAAAACAGTGTGCCTTTGAAGTCTGATTGTTGCTATCCTTGTGACGGGTGCTATCCTTGTGACGGGTGTTAGTACCACCATGTTGTTGGTGATGACACCAGCGAAATTTGTGAGAGGTTTAACTAGCTTGCCTACCCTAGTTGAAAGCATGCGTTGTTGTTTGACCATGGCCCTTTACGATCCTGTTGGTGGGGTTCCATTCGTACAGGGTTCCCACTATATTATATGACTGCTGCTCAGGTTATATTGAATCCTTGCTTGTATACTATTAACTTCCATGGGAAATTTTTAAAGCTGAACCTGGTCCATTACTATTGGATTTGAGTTTGAGCCCAATCGAAACCCAATTGAAATTCCATGAATTTGGGATCACGTCAATTCTATAGAATCCCAATGTGAATGTCCATGAAATGCAGTCGTAGCCATTTGAATATGGGACCTGCTCCTTCCCCTGCGGATGTCTTTCTGCATCCCATGAAAAGCGAATGTAAAGTCATTGAATATCATATCTGCTCCAATCCAAGTGAATTTTTATTCGGACCTCGTTTAAGTCCAATCGAAATCTTGGAAAGAGCGTGTTCTACCGCTGCTGGCGGAAAACCGGGGAGGTCACTACCGGTTCGAACCCCTCCCCCCCCCCTCCGGAAAACCAGGGGGGGTCACTACCGGTTCGAACTCCTCCCCCCCCCCCAGGTTCATCATGAAAAGGGGGGGGGATCACTACCGGTTCGAACCCCCCCCCCTCCTTCGAAAACCGAGTGGGGGTGCGGACAGTGGTGGGGACGGTGTTGGTGGGGACAGTGGTGAGGGGACAGCGGGACAGTGGTGGGGACAGTGGGACAGTGGGACAGTGGTGGGGACGGTAGTGGTGGGGACAGTGGTGGGGACAATGGTGGGAACAGGGGGGACAGTGGACAGTGGTGGGGACGGTGGTGGTGGGGACAGTGGTGTGGGATACAGTGGGAATGAGGTGGAAACAGTGGGACAGTGGAAGGTACAATGGTGGTGGGGACAGTGGTGAAGGCGGTGGCGAGGACGGCGGTGGGACAATGGGACAGAGGTACAGTGGGGACAGTGGTGGGGACAGTGGGGACAGTGGTTGGAACAGTGGGACAGCTCAGTGTGACAGCGGAGGAGTCAGTGGGACAGTGGGGACAGTGGGGATAGTCGGGCAGTGGTTGGGGCCGTGGGGACAGTGGGGAGAGGGAACCGTGGTGGGAACAGTGGTGGGGACAGTTGGGACAGTGCGACAGTGGTGGGGGCACTGGTGGGGACAGTAGGGACGGTGGTGGAACCAGTGGGGACAGTGGTGGTGAGGACAGTGGTGCTGGGAACAACAGTGGGGGATGTGATGCGGACGGTGGTAGGGACCGGGAGTCGTTTGCTGGCGGTGCGTGGGGGGGGGGTCGAACCGGTAGTAACCCCCCTCCGGTTTTCAGGGGGGGGGGTTCGAACCGGTAGTGACCCCCCCCGGTTTTAGGGGGGGGGGGGGGGTTCGAACCCGGTAGTGACCCCCCCGAGGGGGGGGGGGGGGGGCGAGGGGGGGGTTTGCCGGGAAGGGGGGGGGGGTTCCAGCAGGGGGGGGGGATTTTCGGAGGGGGGGGGGGGGGGCGACCCCCAGGTTCCGGAGGAAAAGGTTGACAATTTTCCACAGTAAAGCGGCGGTGGATCACGCTCTCTCTTTGGATGTGGCCCGTTCCTGTTGGATGTCTTTTTACATTCCATTCAAATCCATTTGAAATTATATGAACCTCGGATTTGGGCCCTACAGCATTTCTGTTTGAGCTTCAGACATCAAATTGTAAGCCTTTGAATATGATCCTGCTCCTTTGCAGGTGTATTATTGTTTGAATTCTTTGCGCATCTCATACAATAAATTATTAGACCTGAGAGTTGCTCCATTATCATCTAATTATTCTTTGAAGCCGATACAAATCCGATCGGAGTATCACTACGGTTTTTTTGGTGCTCACTGCAGTACTGACTGGGCGCCCCCCTCCCCCGCCGCGGTCATTTTGAATTGATTTTGGCCGGCGAGCCCGCCGCCATTTTGTTGTCGCCTAGTTGCGGTTGCGGTTGCGCCCGCAGGCGGGTTGAAATGTGTCGCTTGGTTGGAAATTGAAAAAGTATCGCCACTCCGCATCACGCGGCACGCCCTTGAATAGAACTGCGAATCTTTCTCTGGAGAGTCGCATTGCACGGCTTGCTCTTCAAGGGTACTCAAACAGTTCTCTTTTGAGAGTATCAGATGGTTTGCAGCATCGTTTTATGCGGGAGTAACTATTGATTTCTTGTTTCCTGTTTTGACGCCCCGTCCATGTTTTCTCGAAATATATTATGTGCTTATTTTACCACTACTGAGCTCAGATGTGTTTGTTTTACTCATTGTATTTTTTCCCCAACTCAATGCAAAATGCAGCCCGCCAGAATAATTCCGTACTGGTTTTCAAGACGATTCGCCTCCGATTGTTTATGGGGAGCTCCAACTGTTTTGCATTCGTTTGTTTGCCTTGCCGCCGTTTTTTTGATACGTCAGTTACTGTTTCAGGTGTTCTCCCCCGCCCGGTTATTTTCTGATATTGAGTATGTTTTATCGCATCCAGTGTGATATCGGAGTCCTTCTGAATTTGGGAGATGGGCCATTCCTAATGGACTTGTATTTGGATACTATCCAAGTTCAACTGAGATCTTATGATATCCTTGTCCCACCTCTGCGTTTTATTTTTTCGATCCAATTATGACCCCCTATGTGGATAGGGGTAACCTAATTGGACGACTTCGGGACAGCTCCGAGACCACCCGAAAATACAGCAAGGACGGGTGCCGACCGGCCTCAGAGGGCCTCCGAGAGGTCCGAGAGGGCTCCAAGGTAGCGCCAAGAGAGCCCAAGTCCGCCAAAAAACGTTCCAATACGATGTATGATGGCGTCGACGTGGTCCAAGAGGGACCCAGGGCAGCCCTAGAGGCCCTCTGGATGATTTTCAAGATGGTTTCACTATGCTTCACACACACTGCTTGCACCATGATTTTCTGACGGTTTTCACGGTTCTCATGTCTTCAGATTTCCCACGGCCCAGGACTGTCTAAGAGGCCAAACAAAGCCCTTCAAGACAGTCGACAAGGCCGCCACCAGGGCCCCAAGGCGGTTCAAGAGGGTCTCAAGATTCCCAAGAGGGCCCCAAGACGGGCCGACAGGGCACCACGTGGCGCCCAATGAGCCCCAAGAGGGCCCGAAGAGATCCCCACGACTGCCCAAGAAGGCGTCAACACGGCCAAAGCTGCTCAAGACGAGGACAAAGGGCCCCGGAACACCCCAAGAGGGCCCCAAAATAGCTTTCAAGGGACCCAAAAGGACCCTCAAGAAGGCCTGGAGAGGGCACATTCGTTAATTTCGCACGGTTTTCGCACGATGTTTCTCTTACGGCGTGACATACTGTTGCAACAGGGCACTTGGGTACGGACGGTTTTGCGATCCTTCGAGCCCCGCGATGGCGACCTCTGCGGCTCCAAGCTCCCGTTGATGTCCCGCAGGCTTGGGATAGCGGATTATCGTGCTCTGCGCCTTTGGACGTGCTCCTTCCTTACGAGGTTCCACTCCCACGACTCTTTGCGGCGCTGGCTTCCCCAGAAGGTTCCAGACGCCCCCCATCCCAGGCCCCAGAGCCAACAGAACAGCCGTCGACGCGAACCCAAAATCGGTTCGGCCCCTCGGGCGGCTCTTTGCCGAGTTGGGCCCCGCGGCGCCTAGCCGCCCACAGCGCCCGCCGCCCCCGATCCCGGCCCCCCCGAACCAAAGAAACGGCTGCCGACGTGAAGCAAAAGTTGGTGCTGCCCCTCGGTGGCCCCGCGCTCCCAGCACGACCACCAGCCTGACCACCGGCACGACCGCCCGCACGACGAGTCACCAGCATGACCCCCCAGCACGACCACGAGCACAACCGCCGGCACGACCCCCGGCACGACCACCCGGCGGCACCGTCACCAGCACGACCACCAGCATGATGACCAGCAGCACGACAACCAGCGCAACCACAGGCACGATTGCCAGCACGCGCACCGGCACGACCACGAGCACGACCACCAACGCGACTATAAACCGTGACATGTGATACGTGTGATGCACAGGCCAACCATCATATACACTTTGGAACCACGACATGCCCAACCCCCCCAAAACCGTCAACCTCACGACGCACATGAAAACAGACCTGATCCCACAAGTTCACGAGCACACGACGTTCTGTCGTTCATATATCGTGGTGGGATGAGACATCCGCGCTCTGGTGGCGAAGCTAAGCTAGCTAACCATATCTTGTGTGTATATATACATATGTATATGTATGCGTATAGCTAGGTTGCAATACATACATGGACATCACAGGAGCGGAATGGAGCTTGAGAGTGTTGGAAGGAATTTAGAAAAGCAAGTCTTGAGCGATGGAATGAAAAGTCAAGAGAGGTAGGTCCCCGGGGGGAGGGGCTCCATATCTATACACATTATGGGGGGGGCGGGCACGAAATTCGGTGCGGACTTCCGGAAGTGCGTGTGTGCGTGTTTGTGATATGTTGTTTTCGTTTCCTCTAGAGGCAGATCGGGGACGGTGCAGAACAGATGGACCCCGGAATCCAACAGATGGATCCGGATTTGCGCATGGACAACATCGCCTCAGCGCGGACTCCGGAATCCGAATTCTATCCTTGGAGTGCGTCGCGGAGCTTCTGCCGGACGCTTGTCAACTCGAACAAGTTTGAACCTTGCATGGGCCTGCTGATAATCCTGAACACGGTCTCGGTCGGCGTGGAAATCCAAAGTAGTTTGGACGGTGATACTGCGGTGCAAGGCGTCTTAGACATTCTAGAGAACATATTGTTGCTAGGGTTTCTCGTGGAGCTCGTGATTCGCATGATGGCGAACGGCTGGGATTGCTGGAGTAACCTATGGTTCCTCACTGATTTTGTCCTGGTTTTTGTCGGCGTGATTGCCGCCTGGGTCGTCAAGCCTGCGCTTCACATCAGCAGCAACTCGGTGGAGGAGCTCGATCTGATTCAGCAGCTTCTGGTCGTAAGGATACTCCGTTTGATCCGTCTGGTGAGGGCGATGCGCTTGATAGACTATTTTCAGGAACTCTGGAAGCTGACCAAGGGGCTCATAACATCTGGCCGCACTGTCATTTCTGCACTCATCATGGTGATCATTGTGATCTATGGCTTTGCCTGTTTGGGTGTTGAGGTGATATACAACTCAGAAGTTCTGCGGGCGGACCCCGCAACCGCATTCATTCTGGAAACGCGCTTCAGCTCGCTGCCATCCACCATGCTGACTTTGGGGGCGTTCGCGAACGCAGACAGCGTGGCGTCGATCTACGTGCCGCTCTGCCAGGTTCAGCCCTGGCTGGTCTTCTATTTCTGCTGCCTCTGGCTGGTGGTCACCGTTTCGCTGATGAACCTCGTGACTGCAGTCATCCGAAAGCGCCTGATTATACGGCGATCCCCGCCGCCGTGCAAGCGCAGCATGGCAATCCATGCAGAATGGCTCTGCCAGCCTCTCCAGAAGAGGCTCGGCATTGACTGTTCTCGGGGCTGCCTGGGAGGCTGCCATATACGATGCTGCAGCGTGCCGCGGCCCTTCGAGTCACACGTTTGTCGCGTTGCCTTCTGTGGAGGCCTTCCTTGGGGGGCCTGCACCTCGGGCCGCCCAGGGGGCCGCACGAGGGGCTCTCCTGCAGGCTGCATGCGCGGCGCGCCAGCCCTCGCGTGCGGCACGCCCTCGCCCGCGGAAGCCGGCCGGAGCGAGACGGCGGCAGGTCTGCCGGCAGAGGCCAGCGGCAGTCCGGCGGAAGGTAACGGGAAGTCAGGGTGAGACATCAACCTTCAGGAGGGGAAAAAACACACAGACACAATTAATCGTCGATGCCTCAGAAAATATGAGAAAATATGGGAAGGGGGGGGGAAGACAAAAACCCAGAAAATGCTGGAAAAGCTTGGGAGTCCTGTTCTTTGTTGTGTCTGTTTCTCTGTGTGCCCCAGAGCCCCCTTGCGAGACGTGCTTTCGGTCCAGGGCCGCTGCCGCTGCGGGCCGCACCGGCCCGCACGGCCGTGAATGCTTCCGCGTCTGGAGCGGCCTTCCCCTCCTCCCGTCCTCCGCGGCCGCCTCGTCCCCCCACCTTGGGAAATATGGGAAGTGGGGGAAGACAGGAAACCCAGAAAATATGGGAAAATATGGGGAGTCCTGTTATTTGTGTGTATTTATTTGTGTGTCCCAGGGCCCCTTGACATTTTTCCCGCTCTCGCACGCCGGCCAATCCGCGTTTCGGTCGCCCCGGCTCGCCGCTCGCTGGCGCAGTACTTGCCTCGCCGCCGACGAAACAAAAATTTCGGTGCAGGGTCTCCAGAGCGCGCCATCTGGAGGGCCGTCTGGTGGTCACGGGGCCGACTGGGGCGCGACGGGTTCACCGAGCTCGCCCGAGGAGTCTCGATCGACGCATCGTCGGGCCGTCCGTGCGAGGGTTGTGGCCGTCGTGGAGAGCCCTCTTTGGGCGGTCTTTGGCCGTGTTGGGCCGTCCTGCGGGCTTCCCGGAGACAGAGAGGAAGTGCCGGTCCAAGGTGGTTTATCCGATTGGGGCATCCAGGGGCCCCGCAGGAGGCCTCCTTGCTCGTTTGGGGGGGCTTCGTTCGGGGGCAGCGATAGGGGGGGATGGGCAGATAAGGGGGGATGCATTGACCCCCCATCGCCCATTGATCGCCGATAGGGGTCCGATAGCCCCAACCTGCCCAGGAAGGTGCGGATCCACTATCGGGGGCCCATCGCCGATCTGTCGGCGATGTATCGCCGATTCCAGGTCGATGCATGCGCCCCTATGCCGGCCCCCCCCCCTACTGTTGCCCCTCATCCGTGAGGCCTCCTGAGACCATCTTGCGACCTTCGGAGGATCTCGGGGTCTGCCCAGGGTCGTGTCGGGGCCGCCTGGCTGCAGCTCTCTCGGAGTGGTTCTGGCTCGTCTCGAAGGTGGGCGGTCTCACGCCTGGGTCTGCGATGACGGAGGAGTCGCCCGTCGAAAAGGGGGGAGACTGAAGTTTCACCAGACAGCCGACAGGCGTTCCCACACGCCCCAGCCGGGCCCAGGGCCCCAGGTGGCGGATCGTCGAGAGCGCGATTGCTGGCGCATCCGAGGACGCCGAGATGGACCGCAAGATGATGCGCAAGCAGCTGAAAAGGCATGGGGCCACATGCGAACCCTGCCGTTACCCCCCACGATTTCTGAGGGGGAGGGGGAGGTTCACTTCGTTCGGGAGCTCCTGAGCAAAGTGAACCCCATCCTCCCCCTCAGAAATCGTGGGGGATCGGGGTAGGGTTCGCATGTGGCCCCCCAAAGGCTGGTCCCCGCGATCCAGGAGGTGTTCATGAAGCTGGACACAGACAACGAGGGCGCCTCAGCAGCGCAATCCGGGCTCGAACGCCCCCCACGGTCGCGCTCTCTTCGGGACGGCCCGATCTGCCCCAGACCCAAGTCGGGCCTGTCCCTCTACGGGAGGACTATTCAAAAATAATCAAAAAGCATTGTGGGGACGATTTCTGGGGTACTTCTTGACTACTTTGGAGTATGTTTGAATATCTTCTACTTGTCGTCCAAAGCCCGTCTGTAGGGGGACATGCCCGACCTAACCCCAGACATCCAGCGTCTCGCCGCGGGTCATCCGATCCTTAGCTGCTCTGGTGCGCCCGTTTTGGGCGCAACACGTACCGCGGTCAAAACGTCCGTGTTGGTTCAACATATCGGCCCACGTTCTAGTAAACGCATCGCGTCAGACCTCCGTTTTCAGTTTGCGTGCTGATCGGCGGCGAGAGGGGGGGAAGTGAGAAGGGGCGGGCCTTCTCAGACGGCTCGGAAGTCCCCCAGCCTTCTGAGTAGTTTTCGAAGCCCCCCCCGAAGACACACAGAACTTTTCAGAAGGAGGGTTTATGAGAAGTCTCGCCGCCTTCTGAGAAGGCCTTCTCCGTCTCACTTCCCCGCGCTCACTGCCAAGTTGAGCTGTACATTGGAGGTCCATGCCAAGAAACACCCTACTTGCCTCCAGGATGCACTGGGTTTCTTGGGTCTCGATGGTTTTGCTATGGAAGGCGTCACGTCCCCACGCCAAAAATGCATGTACGTCCTGGGGTCTCAGGGTTGGGTTTCTTGTGGCAGGCTTCTTGTGGTCGGGCTCCCACTGTATGTACTCCGTCTAGCTCCGCCGACTGCTGGCAGCCTGTGGCGGCCTTCGTTATGCTGCCAGCGTCGTATGGAATGGCCACGGTGGACGAGCACACGTTGGCGCCAACACACCCAGACATCTGGCTGCTCCAATTTTTTCGATGCGTGGGCCCCAGAGGTCCGGACTACTTCCCTAGGGCCGGTTTTTCGTCCTGAGTCGTTTTTTGACGCTCCCGAGGCCCGGCGAGGGCCCCCGAAGACTGAAAACTGCCAAGAACCCGCCGCTCCAATTCGTGTGGAGCGTCGGACCTCTGGGAACAAGTGCGGTGACCACACCGTTTGGGTTCGGGGCCGCCCCTGCGGTTTTGGGGCTCGGGTCGTTTTCTGAGGGCGTATCGGGAGGCTGGAGCTTCCGAGGTCCCCAGGACCGCGAGGTGAGGCCGTTGGGAACTCTGAGGTCACCACGCGGTCCTACACCCCACGGTTTTGGGCGCCCCATGTTTGGGAGCGAAACGAAGACGTATGCGCGCACGAACTCTCGTGAGCGATGGCAGAATCAGGGGTCAATTGCGCCAGCATTCGTGCGCAAGCTTCCCAAGTGAGGCTGCGCACGAGCGCCCTCTTCTCCACACGGTGTGCCACGCTTGCGGCCCGCGCAAGCCGTTGCGTAAGGTCCGCAAGTCTTCTCGCGTAAGACCGACCCGTTTCTTTTCGTCGCTCACGTCGGCTTCGGGAGGTCGCATTGCGAGAGCGATCGTGATATGGGGGGCTGCCTCGCAGACTGGGGAGCATGCTCATCCACGTGGCTTGGCGCGTGCGTCCTGCATCTGGGCTCCCTGGAGGTCGCGACCCCTTCCTCTCAGGGGCAACGTTAGAGGGGGATAGGCTCAGGGGGGGGACGCAGCGACCCCCAATCGCCCATGCATCGCCGATGGGGGCCCGATATCCCACCCGCCTAGGATCTCGCGGTTTCATTATAGGGGGCCTATCGCCAGCAAGTGCCTACATATGTACATAATGACATCGGCGATGCAGCGTGCATTCAAGCTCCACATTTTCCCCCCGAGCTGGCCCTCCCCCCACCGTTGGCCCTCATCCCCGGGTGCAGCTCTTCCGGGCCCGGCTCCTCCTCGGTGGCCCCTTGGGCCAGGGACCCCAGCGGCCGATGCGTTGGGAGAAGCTCGCCAGGACCGGAAGCGCCAGCCCGCCTCGAGCAGAGGCATCCAGGTCCCCGCGGATGCCCCCCCCCCTTTGGGTCGTCGGAGGCCTCCCGAGGCTCACAGCTCGGGGCTTAAAGGACGGGGATCTTGCAGGACCCTGCAAAGCCCGACTGACCCGGGTTTGCATCGACCCGGGTCGGTGATCCCCGAACAGGGGGCCAGAGAGGTCCGAAAATTTCGGCCCCTCGATGTGGGCCTCCCATGTGGGGTCGTGGCAGCTGGGTTTCGGAGGATCGCGCCGCATCGCCGATGCATCGGCGATGCGGCTCGACGTGGAGCCTGGAGCTACAGTGTCCCTGGCGCTCCAGACGACTCTGGACCATTTCGCGCGGACCGGTTTTGGTTTGTCGTCCAACATCGTTTTTCTGACGGTCCCGGGACCCTGCGAGGGCTCCCGGCTGCCGAAGACGACGAAAAGAAGTTCGTCAACACGTTGGAGGGCTGGGACAGCATCCAGAAAGAAAGAAAAAGCCGAATGGAGGTCGAGCCTCCACATGAGATGCTCATTTGGGGACCTCCCTGGGGACCACCTCACTGATCTGTTCGACTGTGCTTCGACTCTAGTTCGATTCCAGTCTGTCTCAAGTTCGACTGAGGTTCGACTCAACCTCGACGCAGCTTCGACGCACGAGTGGAGCGAGCGGCTCTCCGGGGAGGTCTCCCAAATGAGCATCCAATCCACACTTCGAGTCGGGCGAGCGGGCCCAGACATCCGCCGATAGGATGTTTCAGCCCCGCGGCCCCAGAGGTCCCGACCCCTTCGAGGAGGAGGAGGAGGAGGAGGAGGAGGAGGAGGAGGAGGAGAAGGGAGGAGGAGGGAGGAGGAGGAGGAGGAGGAGGAGGAGGAGGATGGGGGTGGTTCTGGGGCCCGCTGGGCCTCGTGAGGGGTGCTCTGGAGGCCGTAGGGGCCTCCTTGGGAATCCTGGGGGGCACCCTGAGCCAGGAGCACCTTTGGCAACACCCGAGAGATGCCGATTCGCCTCCGTCATCGTCGGGTTGTTGGCGCCGGCGTCTGGGGGGAAGGCGCCCATATTCGGCGAGGGTCGGGGCCCCAGAGGATCCCCCAGGCCTCGCGCTCCTCGCCCTTGCCTCTGCGAACACTGCCCTTCCCGGTGCTCATGGTCAGCGGAGCTGTCAACGCGTTGTGCTCTGCGCTGCGACTGCTCCTAAAATACTACCGCGGATGGAACAGATGAGCGCGAAAAGAATTCGTTTCGTTGGAACATCGCCATTCACAGTCCGCGGGTTCCAAGATTGGCACGATCGACGGCTGCCGCCGAAAAGGTAAAACAAACGCGAACCACAAGTGCAGCGTTCGAGTCCCAGATCGTCGAAGCATGGGCTGCATTCAATCTCTTGGAACGTCGGCTTTTACATCCACAGCAGCAGGGATGTGACGGCAGGGCTGCTGACGGCCACTGGCGGCTGCGGCTCGCGGCTGTCCGTTGCCTGGCGGACGAGTCCTTCACACCCTGCTTCTAGCACCCCACCCTGCCTCTCCTGTGGCGCAGTTCCCCGCGCCCTGGGCTGGACGCCGACGCCGCCGACGACGCCGACGCCGACGCCGACGCCGACGACGCCCTCGGCGTCACTCGGGCCCCTCGGCGGTCCTCTGGCGGCCCTTCTCGGCGGCTCGGGCAGCGGCCCCTCGGCAGTGCCTCGGCGGCCCTCTGGCGGCCTTCTCGTCGGCCTGGGCAGCGGCCGCGTCGTCGGCGTCGGCGTCGTCGTCGGCGTCGGCGTCGGCGTCGGCGTCGGCGTCGGCGTCGGCGTCGGCGGCGTCGGCGTCGGCGTCGGCGGCGTCGGCGGCGTCGGCGGCGGCGGCGGCGGCGTCGGCGTCGGCGGCGTCGGCATCGGCGTCGGCGTCGGCGTCGGCGTCGGCGTCGGCGTCGGCGTCGGCGTCGGCGTCGGCGTCGGTGTCGGTGTCGGTGTCGGTGCCGGTGTCCGTGCTTGTCGCGGTCGTCGTCGTCGTCGCAGCCCGTCGTCGTCGTCCTCGGTCGTCGTTATCGTCGTTATTGTCGTCATCATTGTTATCGTCGTTGTCGTCGTCGTCGTCGCCGGCCGTCGGTCGTCGGTCGTCGGTGGTCGTGGTCGTCGTAGCTCGTCGTTACAGTTGTCCGTTGTCGTCGTCTGGGGTCGTCCGTTGTCGGTCGCGGTCGTCGTCGCCGTTGCTTTCGCTTTGCCGTGGTCGTCGTCGTCTGTCGTCGCCGCCGCCGCTGCCGACTACGACTCCAACGGCGACGGCCCCCACGACGTCGTCGGCCAGCGTGATCTAGGCCAGAAGCACCTTGTGAGTCGGCCTGAAATCGGGTGCTCCTGACAGGGCCCACGTAGATTTGATCGATCCGATTCGGTACGTACCGGGTATCGATAGGTATCGATTTTCGCGGACTCGATCCGATTCGATTCCGATGTTCCGACGATCCGATTCGGTTCGTTGTTTGCACGGCGTTGTGAAGCCGATCCGATTCGATCTGGCTTCCCGATTCGTTGCTGACCTTATCTTGCCTAAGGAGGGCACGCTCAGCCGTGAGGAACTTGCGCAGGCTGATATCGTGTGGCCACAGGAGCTCGCCAAGACCATCCTGGCAAGGCTTCGGGTTGCACACGGGCAGCACCCAGTGGTAGCCCAGGCCGCCCAGGTGGGGCTGGAGTGGATGAGGACCGAGGATCGCGCCGCAACGCCGACACATCGGCTATGCGGCGCCATCTGGAGCCATGTTTCCAGACATCTGACGACCCCCCTCCCCCAGGGACAGCTGTTTATCCCAGATCCGCCTTCTGTGGCCTCTGGGGGCCCGAGAAATGGCCACCAATCAGGAGAGACCCATGCCAAGAAACACCCTGCTCGCCTCCAGGGTGCCCTGGGATTCTTGGGTTTCGATGGTTCTGATATGGAAAGCGCGACGTTCCCACGCCAAACCTCCATGGACGTTCTGGAGTCTCAGGCCTGGGTGTCTTGTGGAAGGTTCCTTGTGGGCTGGCCTCTACTGTAGGCCGAAACGGAGGACGAGCCCAACGAGGGAACAACTCAGCTCGCCGACCCGAGGAGGCGCCCGCGCCCCAATTTCTTGGGCAGGCGGCTCCTCCTCCTCTTCCTCCTCCTCCTCCTCCACCTCCTCCTCATTCTCCTCCTCATCCTCCTCCTCCTCCTCCCTCCTCCCTCCTCCCCTCTCTTCCTCCTCCTCCTCCTCTCCTCCCTCCTCCTCTCTCTCCTCCTCCTCCTCCTCCTCCTCCTCCTCCTCCTCCTCCTCCTCCTCCTCCTCCTCCTCCTCCTCCTCCTCCACTCCTTCCTCCCTCCTCCCCCTCCCCCTCCCCCTCCCCTCCCTCCCCCTCCCCCTCCCCCTCCTCCTCCCCCCTCCCCCTCCCCCTCCCGCTCCCCCTCCTCCTCCTCCTCCTCCTCCTCCTCCTCCTCCTCCTCCTCCTCCTCCTCCTCCTCGTCCTCCTCCTCCTCCTCCTCCTCCTCCTCCTCCTCCTCCTCCTCCTCTCCCCCCCTTCCTCAGAGACCCTGCTCTGATGGCCTTGCCTCCCCCCGCCAAAAAGGACGAACGACTGGGGAAAAGAGCGCCCCCATTTTGAGGAAGAGCCACGGCGTCGGAGGCCGGGGGTCCCCCAAGCCTTGCCACGCCATCCAAACCGACAAATTGGTGGACTTGTTCGAGTTCCTCGACATCGACGACAACAACCAGATCGACAGGACTACGGCGGCGACGACTACAACGACGACTTTCGACGACGACGACGACGACCAACGACGACGCCGACGTCGACGAAGACGAGGACGAGGACGACGACGATGATAAACGACCGACGACCGACAACGTCGACGACGACCTCGACGCCGACGACACCGACGCCGACGCCGACGCCGACGACGACGACGACGCCGACGCCGCGGTCGTCGTCGTCGTCGTCGACGACGACGACGACGGCGGCAGCCTCCAGGACAGGAAGGAGTTCGTGGACGGCGTGTGCCACCTCGCGCTCTCGTCCGTGCCCATCGAGACGACCCAGATTCTGCAGATGCTGCGGCTGGTTCGCCACCTTCTCCTCCTCCTCCTCCTCCTCCTCCTCCTCCTCCTCTTCTCTCCTCCTCCTCTCCTCCTCCTCCTCCTCCTCCTCCTCCTCCTCCTCCTCCTCCCCCTCCTCCTCCTCCCCCTCCTCCTCCTCCTCCTCCTCCTCCTCCTCCTCCTCCTCCCCCTCCTCCTCCTCCTCCTCCTCCTCCTCCTTCTCCTCCTTCTCCTCCTCCTCCTCCTCCATCCCCTGGCGCCTTCGCGTAGCCTTGAGATCTTGACGTTGCAATCTTGTCGCGCCTGGCGTGTTTGCCTGGCTTCGGGCCCCTGGACCACATCACAGATCCACCCGGCTCGAAAAATGCAGCAGGAAGGACGGAAGGACGGAAGGACGTGAGACCCAAACCCTAGGCGTGCTCCGTGGAAGGACGGACTGGCTACGGACACGACGGCGCAAGGGGTGTCAAGCCGACAGCCTGGGCGGAGCGCACATCGGGGTGGCGCGAGGGGGGGTGGCCTCCCGAGAAGGCACGCGGCCTCTGAGGAGACGCGGATTGGACGCACGCGCTGTTCCACAACGCCCGCCAGATCGACGTGTTCCCCCGGCCACGCCGTCTGTGCTTGTCCAACCCTCCTGCAGGGTCGGGCCCACTTTGTCCTTCCGGGGTCTGGGTCTCGCGTCGCGAGTTTTTTTGTTCGCGGTGCCGCTCGTCTTCTCGACGCTTTTGCCGCCCCGTCCTTCTTCTGTTCCCTCCTGCATGCCGGCCGATTCGCTTTGCAGTGCCCCTGCATCGCTGCCACGCTTGAGCGGCTAAAAATACCCCGTTCTATCACTTCGAGGGTCCGTTCTACCACTTACCTTGGAACCCTTCTACCACTTACAAGTGGCCCACTACCACACGCAACCGTTCTACCACCCGGAGCGACATGTGGCGGACGGTTTTCGAACGGCGCGGGGGAGGAGGAGGAGGAGGAGGAGGAGGAGGAGGAGGAGGAGGAGGAGGAGGAGGAGTAGGA